CTCCGGAAAATGGAGATCCAACACAAGGGAAAGTGAAAGGAATCCCAGAATAATGGTTGTGTACCAAGCCAAGAAGGCAACCAGTCAAGAATGGAGGTCAGGGGGTATGAAACTTCCTAAGATAAAATTGTTAACAGTATCTGATATTGCAACATCTTAAAAGGCATCTGATGAAAAGTGGAATTAGTGATAAATATTGAGAAAACTAGACAAAGAGGTAAAAAAAAGATAATGAACTCCAGCCAGATTACTCTGTGGTAAAGAGTCAACAAGCCACATGGAAAAAGAATTAAAAATATGTGTATATATACATACACATATATATATAGTAGAGACAGGATCTTGCTATATTGCCCAAACTAATCTCAAACTCCTGGCCTCAAGCAATCCTCTCACCTTGGTCTCCCAGTGCTGGAATTATAGGCATGAGCCACCATGGCCAGCCCCACACTGCAAATTTCTAATCAGCTCTTTAGTCCTTTAACACTTATTTGCAAGCAGACAATCAAGACTTACCAGACATCTAAGGAAAGGTTCTACAGGAAAGGTAGAGCCCAAAACATACAAAAATGGGAAGAGGGTGGGGAAAGGAGGGGCAACTTGGAGAAAACAGACAATGCTGACAGATGAAAACTTGGGAGTGGAGGAAAACCCATTTCTATTATAGACAGGTGGAGATAGAAAAGGGAAGCAGCCACAAAACACTGTACAGGATAGGAAAAGTAGTATTTGACAAGAATACTGAATAATCAATAGTGATAACTACTGGGAGGAAGGGTACCGGGAAAAAAGGAGACCAGGTAGGTAGATAGTAACAACAAAATTAAATCTTCATTTTCTATCCAGGAAGTTAATAAAGACAAAAACAAATGAAAGGTGTATTTTATTTAACAAATATTTACATAGGGCATGTGAGTTAGACAGAGTTCTAGGGAATTTCCAAATTAATTCAATTCTTATGTCAACCCTATGAGGTAACTACTGTCATCTTTTTTTTAATGAGAAAATTGAGGCATAAAGAGCATAAATAGCCCAATGTTACTTAAAACTAGTAAATGACAAGAAAATTCAAATCTAGGCAATCTAACTCCACAGTCCATGCTCCTAATCAGCAGGCTATGTTACAAATCTAGTAGTAAGACAAGCAAGTTATTTAGAGACTGGGAGGTAAATACCACAATTATCATCTAAAAGAGATGAAAGTGATTATTTCTAGGAAAGGAAAACTGGAAAGTAAGGCTGCAGGAAGCTCTTCCATGTATTTCTTGGACAACCATTTAAACTATCTTTAAACTGTGCATGTATATCTTGAAAAAAACTTTAAAAATTATAATTCGGTATTTTAGTTAAAGTATTTTAACTGATAACTACTGCCATCCTCAGAAGTAGGCAAAATGAGTATTACTCCTATTTTATAAGTAACATGCATGCCTCTTAAATATTTGAGGACCTACTATAAAACAGGCACTGTACTTAGAAGACAGACATCAATTCACTTAAAAATGTTGAAGAGAGGTACAAAAAAAGCAAGTCTTTTTATCCATTTCCTTTCCATTTGTTGCATAAATTATATGATCCTGCATCTCTCACAGTTGTGCTTAAGATGAGGGACAATATAAACTTCAAATCATGACCAAAAAAACAAAACCAGAGAAATGTCTGCTAATTAATTCAAAAAAATACTTTGTCCCTGCCCTTGAGGAACTTCTAGTCTTGTGGGAAAGATTGGTAAACATAATTATAATTGAATGTATACAGTGCTTAAATAGAGGAATATTAAAAAGTGCTAAGGAAACAATATCCCCTGAGTGAAAACAATGCTTTGAAGAGAACATCTGAGCTAAGTCTTGAAGGATGTATGGAAGTTTGACCCATTTCACATTAAGAGGCTGTGCTAATAATAACGGTCACAAAACATAAAAGATGAAATATCTGTATTTTCCCATTCTTGTAAAGGAGAATTCACAGTTCATGTTATAGTCTAAGACATTAAGACTTTTTTTTTTTTTCTTTGAGACAGGGTCCTGCTGTGCCACCCAGGCTGGAGTACACTGGCGTGACCCCAGCTCACTGCAGCCTTGACCTCCAGGGCTCCAGTGATCCTACCACCTCAGCCTTCCAGGTAGCTGGGAACTACACACATGCGCCACCATGCCTGGCTAATTTTTGTTATTTTTTTTGTAGAGACAGGGTTTTGCCATATTGCCCAGGCTGGTCTCAAATTTCTGGGCACAAGCAATTCACCCACTTCAGCCTCCCAAAGTGCTAGGATTACAGGTGTGAGCCACTGCACATGGCCTGACATTAAGACTTTTTAAATAAGAATGATTTTTTTCAAAACAAGATACATAATCTTAACACCCTGATCCATGTTTATAGTCTCTCCCAGTGATCAAGTGAAGGCACTTTCCACATGTCTAAACATTTTATAATCTAAAGTGTTAGAGTATTATTTCAAAAGATGACTACAAGATAACCATCCTCATTTGTCCTACTACCCAAGTTATATTGTTAACACATTTCCTGATTCACAATATTAAAATTATATATGTAGTCTCTCTCTCCTGAGACAAATGGTGACCAAGCCCACAAGATGCAAGTGACACAGAGGCTACCATGGGAAGAAAGGTTTTAAAAGTTTTTAAATCATATCATTGTTTTCTCTTGTAGTTATTCTTAATTTATCTTTCAAGGGCAAATTTAAATGAAATTAATTTCTTTTTCCAAACTGTAGTGATAAAAGAAATAATCTTCAGTAAAACACAATGAAGAATATAATATATATATTTTCTGATCTTACGAGGTGTTTTAGGGCTACATTCCGATTTTACAGAATTTAAGATATGGCTAAAACAAAAATTTTCTGGTTTTTAATCACAAAACTTTGATGTTAACTAACCAAGGCCCAAATAGGTAGTAAATTCAAAACAGTCTCTGCTCTTGAGGAACTCCTGGTCTTGTGGGAGAGACTGGTAAACATAATTATAATTGAATGTGTACAGTGTCTGAAGACAACTTGTTGTATTAGATCAGTATTTCCTTATTTCTCATTATGTCTTTTTGTTCCTTTTTAGAATTCCATAATTTCCATAATTGGCTTATTAATCCTTTTAGCAATTATTATCTGGAAAAATTAATTTTATATTAATATCTTAAACTGGGACCCTATTCCTATAATTAAAAATCTAGTTGAAAGTAGCATCATTTGACTTTGTCTGGAACAGCAAGCTGTGGAAAATCCTATCATGTCCTACCAATAGAAAGAAAAAGAGGGGAAAGACAAGCCAGGGGACCACAAATGGTAATTACAAAATCAAGGCAAGTTTGAATTCAAAATGAGTGTTTTCATTTGTGTATTTTACCCATCTTTTATTTCTCTAAACTTAGCATCCACATAATATAGCTGTTTTTATAAAGGCTTCACTCAAATCATAAATTTGACTTAAAAAACATTAATAATTGTGGTAAATAATTCTTTTAAAATTACAGGTGAGTATTAGCATGAGAAAATTAAAGGTTTAACAATAATAATGGAACAATTAAGGAAAGTACCTCCTAAAAGTTTATCTTTTAGACTACAGTTTTGTACAAATAATACAGAATACATTTGGTTAGGTAAGAAGGTTTTAATTACATGACTATTAGAAAAATAATAAAAATCCTGAAAGACAAGATTTTATCAATTTAACCATGTCTTTACCTTATCTTTTAAACAACTAAATAACAAAAACCTCACTGAAACATTTGACCTTTGTTTTCTTTTTCTAAAATTACAATTATTTTGCAATATGCTCAATTTTTCCAAAGCAAAACCCACAAACATACATATAAAATATAAATGCTTATATTAGCTTGATGAAAGTTTACTCACAAAACCCTCCAATACTAAAATAATAAAATATCTTGCATGCTTAACTCCAAATTCCACAGTGAAAATGATGTCTTTTCATAACTCCTATAATAGTATTTTAATCAAGGTTAGTAACAGACTGGCAAATTTGTGAAAGAATATTACTTTAAAAATCAAGTAGGATTTAAAACGATGTAGAAACATGAAAGATTTCACAACTTTTCTAGCCAGTCAGCTTCAAAGACACAATTTGATTCAATAAGAGTTACTGGCATATTATTTTCAGTCTAAGTGAAAAAACGCTTGGTTTAATAATGTACTTTAGGCTTTCTGTATCTTTTTGGTAAGGAAAAAAAGGAACAGGTGGAGATTAGCCGGAGACCAAGGTCTTATTTTCATGCCTCTACAAATTCAGTCCTCCAAGACTTACTTTCTTCTATTCTTTAAAATGGCTACCACCTTGATCTACCATGCAAAAGAAAAAATGTACAGCATACTATCAAGATAAATCTGGTTATTTTGATGGTTTATGTCCTCCTTTCCCGCAAAATACTTTAAGATTCCCATTGCTTTACTGTTCAGATAAAATGACCATTAAATAAGCACACAAAAGTTGGTCAGTTGCGGTATGAGGGCAACCTATATAACCCAGATTAAGTCATCTTTCATACCGTATCTGACTAGGAAAAGCAGGCAACAATATCTTTCACAGACTAAGATCAAACAGTAGAAATGAAAAAAGGATGTCTAGTAAAGGAGAACAAACGTGGGAACCACAACCCCCCAAGAGATTATTTTAGCAGCTCAAAATAGATTAACTATTATGTGGGCTAGCAAAAATTAAGCTTTCCATAATTAATATTTCTAAAAAGCATTTTATAGATAATAAAACCACTTGGTGCCCCCAAACCTATTTTTAATGTGAACACATGCTCAACAACTATTCTGAAAATATTGTTTACATATTACTATTTCCTACCCACTCTGAAACCATTCCATAACTCTTGCTCTATAAAACTTCTCATAAAAATGCATTTTTCACAAAAATGAAAATATACAATGCTTTGAACTAATTTTGTGCATACATGTAGCTACTAAATAGGTAACTTCAAATCTGTTGAATGTCTCCAGAAATATGACATGATCTTACCTCTCATCCTCGCCATCCACCAGGGGTGTCGTCAGCGGTAGCACCTTCAACGGGAAAAGAGAAGCAGAGGCTGCTAGGCTGCTGCTACTCCCATCTGAAACTGCTGACATTCCCCCACTGTCACCACTGATAGTCTGAGGTAAGCCAACTAAGGAGGGCTCCGCTGGGCGCCTGGCATCTTCAATTTGGCTTCCAATTGCCTGAGCTAATGATTGTGCAGAGAACTGGGTAGAACTTAGTGGTATCTGTTGTGCCAAAGGCAAATTTATATTAGTTGCTATCAAGGGAGATTGACTAACACTTTGAACCAAATTACCATTTTGGGTAGCAGGGGTTTGTGCTATATTTTGTGGTGGAACCAAGTTTGCTGGGGCAGAAGGCATTCCAGAAGGACCAGTTGAACTAACCTGACTTGTAACAGAAATACTGCTAGCAGAGGGCAAAGGACTAACTGCAGGCAACTGCTGTGAAACAACTCCTTGAGCTACTGGTTCTACTCCTTGTGGCTGGGGAGGCACAGTTAACAAGGTACTTTGGGATGCAATAACCAATTGTTGAGGAAGGCTTGCAGCGCTAGTTTGAACTCCCTGATGAATAATCCCAGTTTGAGCAGGTGGAACCACTTGCGAAGATGGAGGAGCACCTTGCTGAATAACTGAAGGTGGAACCTGGGTAGAGGGCTGCTGCACTGCAGTAGGTATGTTTGCTTGCTGACCAATATTTGCAATCTGACTGCCAGTAGGTACAGCAGACACTGCTGCCTGAGCCTGGCCAACAGGCTGGACAGATGCCCCTGCAGGTTGTGCTGGGACTGCTGTGGGCTGCACTGGCAGCTGGATACCCTGTGGCTGAGCCACAGGAATCACTGTTGTTCCTGCTCCCACTCCTGCAGAACTGGGCTGTCCGGACGACATTGCTGTTTGAAGAATTGGCTGCTGTTGTACATACTCTGAAGCAGCATTTTGAGTCACTGATTTGACATGGCCTGGAGCCATCTGTGTAGAAACCATTGGTTGCTGTTGTCCATACTGTAACTGTTGGGGTGGTGGTGCCCCTGGAAGGGGAGTTTGCACTGGAGGAGCCGCCTGAGAATATGGGAGCTGGGGTTGAGCCAAACTGGAAATGGAAGGCTGCTGACCTAAAGCTGAAGTTACACCAACCACATTTACAGGCGATGGCTGGATACCAGTTGCAGCACTCATAGTGGCTTGCAGAGGTACTGGCTGAAGACTTTGCTTTTGCTGATAGCTCAGTTCTTGAGACTGCAACTGTACTTGTGAGATCTGTGACTGAGAAATACTCTGTGGTATACTAACTGCTGGAATACTCTGTGGACCAGCGCTACCAAAATCCATCTGTTGGAGGGTCACACCTTGGAGAGCTGGTTGTTGCTGTTGTTGCTGCTGCTGCACCACCACAGTAGGAGCTCCCATCTCTCCACTTCCCACACTCTCTGTATAGTGACTCAGTGTGCTGACACTACTGCTCACTGAACTCCCACTAGTGCTCTCCCTTTCAGAAGTCACTTCTATCGGATTTTGCTTTACAGTCTCCACCACTTTATTTATCAGCACACCTTCCGTAGCAGGCACAGCATTTTCTTTTTCATAGAACTCAGTGCAAGTCCATCTACCTTTTTTAAAGGGCTCAGAACTAGAATCTAACTTCACAACTCTGAACCTCGAAGTGTTAACTGTTGGTTGTTGCTGCTGACTTGAAACCGATCCCCCAGTCATCCCTGCAGCTGCATTAGGGACACTGCTAACGGCAGCGGAGGAAGAAATAGTACCATTGCCCATGCCACTCAAGATATTCACATTAACACCACTGGTAACTCCAGGCCCAACACTCACACTAGCAGCACTAGGAATATTGCTTGTACTTATATTAGCATTACCAAGCATGCTGCTTGTCATATTAGGATTCAAACTACCCACAGCAGTAATATTAACATTATTTACTGTACTAGTGCCAGTAACAGAACTTATACCTATTCCACCTGTAGTACTTGGAGCACGTATATTAGTCATTACAGATGCAGGTGAACCACTGGATGATACAGCAGAAGTTGGTGCAACTGGTGTGATACTGTCAGAGCTTCCAGTTGTAGAGAGTTTTCTAGATACTGGGCTTGAGGGTGGCCCACCAGGAATGGATGCACTGGCCACAGCAACATGAGATGGATGGTGGTGCCCATGTTGGAGGTGGTGCCCATGATGAATGTGATGGTGGTGATGGAGGTGGTGTGGATGAGCATTCCCATTGATCACAACATTCTGTTGTGGAAGGTGAGGCAAATGAGGCTGAGGAAGGTGGGGCTGGTTGGGAGAGACTGCCCCAGGTGTCTCGGCTTCCTGGAAGTTATTTAGGGTCTCTTCTGAGGAGCTGCGTTCGGGCTCCCCTAAGTCAGTAGCCCTGGAAAGTGACACATCAAGGATCTCCGAAGAAGAGAGATCTTCTGTGTGAGATTCATCCAAATCATCATAGCTCTCAGTGTCCTCTGCTATACTGTTGTTAGAGCTGATACTAGCGGAGATCTGAGCAGGAGTAACGCTAGTTATCTGGAAGCCACTTTTCTTTTTCATTTGAGTTCCGCCTGGCGCAAGAGGCTGTGCCTGCAGCTGAGCCTGCGAAAGGAGGTTCAGGCTTTGTGGAGGCGGAGGCTGTGGTCCCGACGTAGAAGATGCTGCAGGGGGCGGCGGCTGAAGCAGCGACGGAGGCGGAAAATCCTCGGAAGATGTGGCACTACTACCGACGCCGGTACCTGCTGCATTGAGAGCAGAGGCGCTGCCACTACCGCTGCCCCTTCGAGGGAACACTGCCGGGTGCGCCATCTTCCTAGCGCTAATGTCTGCAGCGGCGGCGGCCGCGGCGGTGGACTCAGGCGGCTGGTGCATTGTGTTGGGTACCGGGGGGGGGGGGCCGAGGAGGCGAGTGCAATTTCCTTCTGCACCGTAATCTTTGTATTCGAGACGCCGGAGAGGAAAACGGGACCTGACGCTCCGCCTGGCGCGATTCCTCCTTCTCCTCCTCCTCAGCCGAAGGCGCCGGTCGCTCCTGCCTTCGAGAGCGAGCTTCGGAAAGGAGGATGAACGAGGGTGAACAGGGCGGCCAGGGACCCGAAGGGGGGACCCCTTCAGTCCTTCGCCATTCACTTTCCCCTGTAGCCTCACACCCCCCTTTATATTCCGTTTCACGTGGGGTGCGGGGCAGGAGGGAGGGGGAGAGCGCAGGAGGGGGAGGAAAAGCGAGAAATGCCCACCTTCTCCGGCCAACTCCGAAGCCGCCTCAGCCCCCTCCTCCCGCCGCGGCGGCGGCCG